GAGAGAGAGAGAGAGAGAGAGAGAGAGAGAGAGAGAGAGAGAGAGAGTGTGTGTATGTGTGTGCACTCTTATTTTAAAGGCACAGTCTTTAAATATACTCACATTTGGGCTGAAATAACAAATGTGGACATATTTAAGGACAAAATTATAAGGAATCTGGTCTGCCCGTTGTAACCATTGCTCTATCCAAGGGAAGCAAACCTGTCTTAGATAACTTGAGACTCAGAATAGTACATGACAATAAACACATGTGTGCTGTGGCATCAGTGCCTTTTCTGGAGCTTTCCTTCCAGAAAATGGTCAACCCGGAGCTTTGAAATTAAACAAGACTCATACACATGACAGTTAATTTAAACTAACTTGAAGGCTCACTCTATGTCTCTTTTATCCATCCCCAAGTCAAAGGGGTTAGAACTGTCTCTTTTCCCTTGACACTCAGTTTCTTCATCCAGTATGAGAGGTTTGGTCCAGCTAAAGGTCATAGGCTTTCAGAATTGGAAAGGACCATAGAGATCATCTAGTTCAAGATTTTTATTTTACAAGTGAAGAAACTGAGGTCTGGATAGGTAAAGCAACCTGCCCAAGGCCACATAGGTGGCAGAATCAGGATTTGAACCCAGGCCTTTTGAGTCCAAATCCAGTGGTCTTTCCATTACACCACAACAGATCATTTCAAGGTCTAACCTTCACTGAGTCTGCCATATTTCTATGTACTGTCTCCCAGGCTTCCCTTCCGTAACTTCTTTTCTTCCTAACGGCTACTCCTGATGTTCATTTAACCCAGAATAAAATTATTGGGGTAGATAGGCACAGTGTAGATTGCCCCAAGCCTCAACTTTCTAGAGGGATCAAGTTTCTTCTCTGTGTTAACGGTTCCCAGCAATTAGGTACTACTCTGCCCATATATTCCAATATCAGGCTCCATTCTTATTTTAGCATCTTGCCTGCTCCCCGCCTACTTAGGCACTTCAAAGCCCTGCCACAACTTACTGGCATTGATGAGAACAAGGGCAGTGTAGAGAGCAATCTCATCCTCGGAGAAATGCAGAGCACACAGAGAGTGGGAGAAGTCAAAGATGGAGCCAATGAGTTCACTGCAGCCTAAAAGAAATTGAAAGTGTGGGGAGAGTAAAGGAGAGTTTGTTGAACTGAGAGGAGGGGGATATTTGCTGTTGAGGGCCCAACCCAGAATCTTGCCTTGGGGTGACTGGGGGAAAGGAGGTAGCTGGTCTTGAAATAGGAGTGTACTGTGTTTGACAGTGGGTTGGAACCAGGAACTTTCACCTTCCCTTCACTGGCCCTCACCCAAGGCTCTGAACACGTCCACGCCTCCGTATTTGCCCTCAAAGAAGACTGTGCGATTGTCAGCGTTGTAGGCCCGGCACATCCTCACCAGTACCACCTCCATGGCCCCTGTGGGGAGGGAGTGGGAGGTGAGACGAAGGGAGAAAAGGCAGAAGAAGACATCTGCAAAGTGGAGAGTGGTACCAAGGTAATACCCCAAGCTCAGCCCCAAATCCATCTCAGCTCCCTCAGTGGACAAGATACCTCCTAGTCTTTTTGGATTTCTTCCTGAAAACCTCTCCCTTTAGGTCTTTCTAGACACCTTCCCTGACCTACACCCAGCATATTCTCTGTCCTCACCCCTTCCAGTCCCCAACACGAGCCTTCTTAGCCCACTCCTGGCACCTGCTTTGAGCAGCACAATCTGGTCATTCTGACACAGCTCCATGAAGCCTGCTAGCCTTTTGGCGAATTCCACCACATACTGGATGGCCTCGGTGAGCCGATGGGCACAGCGTTCCCACATCTCCCACATCGACTTGGGGTGGGAGAAAAACCACCATAGGGAAGAGAAAAGACACAGGTCAGAGCCCCCCAAACCTCTCCATGACCCCCCAACCTTCAACCCCATATGACCCCCTGGGATCCTACTCTGGTTATTTAACTCCTTCACAGCATTCAATGAAGGAACCTGAGCAAACTATGGTCTGCATTGTCTCCTGAAATCGCATATGTGTACTAACATGTGTAGACATATAAAAATGTATTGACAATCAGCAAATGTTTGAGTGCCCATTTAGGACAACATAGAGTAGTGGAGAGAAAACTGGATTCAGTCAGTAGATCTGTATTTGAATCCTGGCTTTACTACTTATCAGCTACGTAACCTGGTCAATTCTCTTCCCTTCTCTGGGACTTTCTTGTCGTCTGTGAAATGGGAATGATAATATTCACATTCCCTACCTCGTGGAGTTGTCGCTAGGGAAGCACTTTTGTTCTAGAGCATCGTCAGCCTGAGAGCTTTGAAATCTGACAAGGTTCATGTACGGTTAGTCTATAGCACTCAAGGTGCTATAGAAATGTGAACTATTATTCCAAGGCGCCATGGGGAATTCGAAACATATGCAAAGGAGGTCTTGCCCTCATGGAGCTTTTAGTCTAGTTGATAAGAGGAAACATGCATACACACGCTAAACACAAAGTAGTATATATAGTAAGTCCCCAAATGAGTGATTCATTTTGTAAGGAACTCAGAGGGAAAGATTACTACTGGGACTGAGGTGGTTAGGGGAAGGAGATGGAATTTAAAATAGGCCTAGACTAGGCAGGAATTTATTGGAGAGGAGTGGTGAGGACATTCAGCGAGGTGTAAACAAAAGCCACCATTCTGAGATTCACATTGCTGAAGTGGAAAGGGCGCCATACCGGGGAGTCAGGAGACCTTGGGTCTAGTTCCATCTCTTTCACTTACTAGCCCTATGACCTTGGGCCAATCACTCCCTTTCTCTGGACCTCAGTTTTCCCTATCTGTAAAATGAGGGAGTTAGACTAGATGATCTCTTGGTTTCTATCCAGTTCTGAGGTTTTTGAGACCAGTTTCTCAACATACTGATATCCATAGATGTACATACATGAACAAAGCTGTGTGCAGACACATTTTCCTTCACCCAGGTGTGTATTCATGTGTGTGTGTGTGTGTGTGTGTGTGTGTGTGTGTGTGTGTGTGTGTCCCTCTCTTTCTCTGGACTTTCCTGATGACTATGGGGTTGCCTCATCCTTTTGGTCTGGCCCCTGAATCATTACCTTTCTTTGGTAATTGATCACCTCCTCCCGGGAGAAGACGTTGGAACGTTGCCTCTGCAGGTCCTCCAGTCGAAGCTGACAGGTCTCTTGATAGGACTTACAGACATTTTGGATCAAGTGCTCTGCAGCCGGGAAGGCACATACTGAACCTCAGTTCTCCCCTGCCACATGGGAGTCCCCCCCATTAGACTATCCTCCCCTCTGGCTTTCTACCTAGGGTCATCCAGCCCTCATGATCGAGCTTTCCCGTGTCTCTATTTTTTTCTTCGAATGTTGGTCTCTGTCTTGGGAACCCCTAGGAATCTGTTACCCCTCCTTGACCTCAGTTCCTTCCCTATACTTCCTCTCTACTTAAAGAGAAGCTGCCTGGCTGGTCCTGCCCCCTATCTCTGGCTGCTTACCAATCTCAGTCAGGGAGGCGTTGGGGAGGTCGAGGCGGAAGCTGGGGCTGCTGTACGAGTCCCTCCCTTGGCTTGGCTCCCCAAGCACCAGATGTCGGGGTTCCCCAATGTGGAGCTCACACCTGTCAGGGGACAGCTGGCTACCCAAGCCATAGAAAGCTCTGCCGACCTCAGCCTTTGCCCGATCGGGGCTGTACCCCCGGCAGTACACAGCCCCAGCCAGCCCCATTTTGGCCAGACTATTAGGGTAGGACGGTCCAGGGCCTGGGGTGCTAAGGAGGGCAGGTGGGCAGGCAGAGGCCTCAGGCAGGTCAGGTGAGGAGCCCAGGGGTAGCTGTCCATTGGGGAGGGGAAGGGTATAGGCGGGGGTGTCTGCCCCTCTGGTCCCTGCAGGAGGGGGAGTGGTCACTTGTCGCTGCTGCTGCAGTTGCTTCTGCACCTCGGCATGCAAACTGTCCCTCTGCTTCTTGGACATTCGGCCGAACTTGACAGCTGGAAGAGGCCCGGTGAGAGATCAGAGTTGTTGGGGTGAGAGGTGGTGGAGAAAGAGGTACCTCTGTATGATTGACAGCTGGCTGGCTGACAACAGACCCTCTTCTGTCTTACTCTGACTTCCTCCTTGGAGAATCTGTATCCTCCATTGGACCCCACCGTGAGACCCTCTCTCACCTTTCTCCTCCCAGGTGTTCCAGGGACCTGCCTGGTTAAGTTCTTCCTACATTTCACACTGCAAAGTGATACTATCTCCCAAAGCGATACTATCAAGAGTGGGGAAGATGAGTACAAGGAAAGCAGTAAGGCTAAGGTATCTGGACTCTTTGACTATGGGATGGGGTTCAAGGTGGGAGCTAGGGGGACAGCAGTTCTGTATTGGGGTCACCCCCCTTGCCCAGGAGACAGGAGGAAGAAGAGCTGGGAGAGCTGTGAACCCAGGTCTCCATGTGGTCAGGCCTACAGGCTCCCTGGTGACCTAGATACACACCACAGCCCAACCCAGGGCTCAGCGGCTTGTTTCTGAACATCCTCTTCTGACTCTCTTTCCTGCCCCTTCATTCCCCCCTCCCTCCCCGCCCTACCACCCCCTTCAACCCCTCCCAGGTGTGGAGGCACAGTCCCCCTCCCTGTCAGCTCCCTTCACACCCCAAGCCAGCTCTCCGCCTGTGCGTTTCCTTTTGCTTGGTTATTTCAGGCACTGAAAAGTGCTGACGGGTTCCTTCTGGCTTCTTGTGTCACATCATCCCGTCCTCCCCTCCTTTCCTCCCCTTGTCCCCCCACTAACTGTGCCCATTCCCTGAGCTCCCTTGTCAGTGGGGTGTGTCAGGTGAGTGGCCTGGGAGATAGACAAAAGGCTCAAACCTCCTATTCCCCTGACCCTTTGCTAGGAATTGTGGCTATTTTCAGTCTTGCTATTCACTGGTCCAACTTTTCCTGTTAGCTCCCAGGGACCAAAGAGAAGTCATTTCATTTCATTTTTTTTTTTTTTTTTTGCATCCCAGCACCTAGCATAGTAGATGCTTAATAAATCCTCACAGGGGGAGAGGTGTAGGAGCTGGGGAAGAGGGAGAATAGGGAACCAGGTGGGGTCTGAGAGAAGAGAGACAAAGAATTAGGAACCATCTAGCCCGGAGAAGAAAAGATGGAAAAAGGCTAGGGCCTGAGGAATTTTTGGGGCAGGGAGGAGAGTTACCCTTCTCTGTTCGCATTTCTCTAGCTGCTTTAGCTTTAGAAAGTACCTTCCTTATAAGATCCTTATGAAGCAGGTAGTAGAAATATTTTTATCCCCATTTTACAGATGAGGAGAGAGAAGCACAGAAAAGTTCAATGACTTTTCCAAAGTCAAAATTAGTGAGTGTTAGAGCTAGGATTTGAAGCCAAGTATCTCTTGACTCCAAAGCTATTGCTATTTTGGCTAGCCCTACAGAAGTCTAAGATTTCAGGAAACACTTTGATGTCTTCTGCTTGCTTAGCTAGTTAGGGCCCCTATTTACAGACTCCATAGAAGGAGGGGTCCTGAGTAGCAGCCAGGGAGCCTTCCCTGCATGGCCTCACCATCCCGGGACATGCCCAACGCCAGGCATTTCTGCAGGCGACAGTGTTGACAGCGGTTCCGACTGGTACGGTCTATAGGGCAGCTTTGCTGTCGGGTACAGGAGTATGCTACATTACATTGCTGGCTCCGGCGAAAGAAACCCTGGTGGGAAAGGGTTAGGATTAGAAGACTGCTCCCTTCAGATTCCTCAACTCCCCTGCTTTCCCTTCACTCCCTATCACCTCATCTAGGGACAGAATACTTGGGTGCAGAGAGCTTCGTGAAAAGACACGCTGGCCACCTCCCCACCTTCTTCCCTGGATGCTTTCTCTTCTAAAGACTATTCTAGGATATTCCCAGGGATCAAATAAGGGCTCTTGAGTTTCACATTTCTCTGGCATACCACTTCCCCAAAAGCGTATGTGAATCTCACCTTGCAACCTTCACAGGTGATAACCCCGTAGTGGATCCCAGAAGATTTGTCCCCACAGATCTTACAAGGTATCACTTCAATTTGAGCTGAAAGAGAGTATGAAAAAGAATGGATTAGACATAAACCAAAGTTTCACTCCCTTATTCAATCTGGGTACCGAGTGTTCAGTTTCACCCTCAAAACTTGGAGGGAAGCAGGAACCCCTGGAAGATGCTGAATATTTGTGGGGGCTGGGGAGAAGACCGGGAAGTCAGGGAAGCGGCATCAGCTCAGTTGGGTGGCAAAGGCAGCAGATGTACAGAGAAGCCACCTGTTCCCCCACCCCTACCCCACCCCACCCCTCAAGTCACAGAGACTTTATGCTTCCCTCCCGCCTTGGGACCCAAGTCCCTGCTACTTTGTAGCACCTGCTTCCCGCCTGAGGAACCTTGCTTTCTCTCTCTTCCCCACCCCTCACCCCAGGCTCTGCTCCCACGGGCAGAGTACGGGGCAAGTGAGGAGGATGTGGTGGGCTGGGCTAGGGGCACCTGGGCACTAGGCTCAGAGGGGCGGGATTGGGCCTGTGCTATCACAATCAGCTTTTAGTATTGAGTTCAAGAGACGACAGGGGTGGGGGGGATTCTAGGGACACAAGTATAGTCGCTATGGGGTTCAAAACAGCTTCTTGATGGGTACCTGGAAAGCAAAGGGTAGGACTGGCTTACTGATCCAGGATTTACATATGTGTATGTATGTATGCTAAAGGGTGCGTCTGCGGGCAAGCATATAGACATTAATGAGTTTGTATACCGTAATACATGTGTGCATGTAAGTCTGCTGGAGAGTATATATGCACGAATCACAATATCAGAGCTTGAAGGGACCTTGGTGGTAATTTGGCCTAAAATCCCCTAATTACAGATGAGGAAATTGTGCACTAGGTGGAGTAGTAGATTGAGTGCAGGCCCTGAAATCAGGGGGACCCAAGGTCAAATCCAGCCTCAGACACTTACGAGCTAGGTACCTCTGAGCTAGTCACTTAATTGTTTGCCTCAGTTTCCTCATCTGTAAAATGGGGATAATAATAGCACTCATTTCCCAAGGTTGCTATGAGGATAAAATAAGTTAATATTTCATAGAGCCAAGCACTATATAGATGCTGTTATCATCAGCATCATCATCATCATTATTATAAAATGATTTACCCAAGATCACACAACCAGTTAGCAAAAGAGTGGTAGATCACAACAACTTGGGTTTCCTGACTCAATTTCCTGCTCTTTCCCCTATATCATACTAAGATTAAATGTGTCTAGTGCAGGGGTGGGGAACCTGCAGCCTCAAGGCCACATGTGGCCCTCTAGGTTCCCAAGTGTGGCCCTCTAGGTCCCCAAGAGTGGCCCTTTGAGTTTGGATTCAGTTTGAGGTGGCCTTTTGACTGAATCCAAACTCAAAGGGCCGCTCTTGGGGACCTAGAGGGCCACATGTGGTCTTGAGGCTGCAGGTTCCCTACCCCGGTCTAGCGCGTGTTAGAGAACCCTATGGCTTTCAGGAACTATGTAGGGGCTGTCATTATGTCTAGTTTTCCTTATTTTCTTCAAGGCTTAGTTCAGGTTCCACTTTCTACACAAAGCCTTGCCTGATTCCCTCAGCTGCTGGTATTTTCTCCCCCAAATGACCTTGTATCTGCCATGTATGCACACAGTGTCTTCCCTGGCTAGACAGTAAGGTTCTTAAGGGCAGCAGTGACTGTTTCACTGTTGCCTGGTACATAGTAGGCACTTAATAAATGCTTTCTGATTCTGTGAATGAATTTTATAACAGCATCAAGAGTTGAGGGCACACGTATATCGGTGCATATGGATTTTTGTGAATGTGTATATGTTTGAAATGGGGTGTATGTATATATCAGAGTGTGTATGGCCCTGTGCACATCTGAAGGTTTGTCAGCATGTCTGTGGCACCCAGATCTCTGAGGCCAGGACCCTCGCATTCTCCCTCTTTCTTTGTGACTCTGGGGGCCCTGTGCTTGCCCTGCTCTCCCCCTACCCCCACTTCTGTGGTTTGCTCCTGGCCACCAGGTTCCTCTCTCTTTCTTCGCTTTCTGCTTATCAGTGCCCCGCTGTTTCCCGCTGAGTAGCACAGGCCAGCACGCAGCCCCCCGGCGTGGCCTCCCTCTCTCGACCTCAGAGGGTAGCCCAGGGAGGCTGCTTCCAGCCACAGAAGATATTTTCAGTATTGCCACAGGCCAAGCCCTCCTCTCTGGCCCCAGTGGGAGGTCATTGACGCCCCAGTGGGTGGGGGGGAAACCTGGGCAGGAAGGTGTAGAGTGGGGTTCTCTGGCTCTTCTATGTGCTGATCCCATCTCCAAGGGCAGAGAACATAACACCTAATGTCACCTACTTCTAGACTCTCACAGCTTACTTACGCTGATTGTGCAATGTGGAATCATGGATAAGGTCCACTTACTTCACTCCAATACTTCCTTGGGGTATGGCTTTTCACTGAAGTAAATCAAGTAGCTCCCTATAATGGGGCACGGTGTTAGGTGGTGACCAATGCTTGAAAAGGGGCGATTCCTAGACACCAGAATGGTTTTACATTGATTATGACAGACTAATGTAATTTTCATTTTTGACAGTGTATCTAAACTTTCAGGAAGGCCTGAGTTCGAATTTGGCCTAGGACACCAGCTGTGTGATACTGGGCAAGTTACTTAACCCTGTTGGCCTCAGTTTCCTCATCTGTCAAATGATCCGGAGAAGGAAATGGCAAACTACTCCAATATCTTTGCCAAGAAAACTCCAAGTGGTGCCATGAAGAGCCGGACGTGACTGAAATGACTGAAAAAATCTAAACTGTAAGAAAGGCAGGGTGGAGTAATGAATAGAGTCCTGGCTCTGATTCAGGACAACTTGAATTCAAGTCCTGTCACTGAAATATACAGGCTATAAAACCCTGGGCAAGTCACTTAACCTCAAAGGAATCCAGACATCTAAGACCATAAGTTGAAGAAAAGTTGACAATCTGCCTTGGCAGGAGTTTCCTCACTTGGGAACCCACTGTGCCAATCACAGGCGCAACCTTCTTCCTCCACCAAAAAAAAATATTGGGGCAATGTTGAAAATGTAGTTTGCCAAAATTTCAATCAATCATTTGATAAAACCTTTATGATCTACTTCAGGATAAGTTCGAGGGACATGCAGTAGATAATACAATTAGGCAGATTTGGACCTAGTTGAATAACTAGGATGCTAATAGTACTAATTAATGAGATGATGACAATTTGTAGTGGAGATTCCTGGGGATCTGGCTTTGACCATTTGCTTGTTAATATTTTATTAATGACGTGGATGAATGTATCCAATTTGCAAAGGATATGAAACTTGAAAAGATAGCAAACCCAGTAAATGACATATTCTGGATCTCAAAAGATATCAGTAGGCTAAAGTGATGGATCAATTGAATAGGATGACATCTAAAAGGAAGAAATGAAAAATCCTGTCCTTGGGTTCCAAACATCAACTTTGACCCTGTACAGGATAGAACTGTTGTGGCTAGCTAACAGTTCAAGTGAAAAAGATCTGGGGGGCACCCAGCAATCCCGCCACAACAAAGAAGTCAAAGGAAAACTTTATACACACAAAAATATTTGTAGCAGCACTTTTTGTGGTAGCAAAAAGCTTGAAACAAAGTGAGTACCCATTGATTGGGTAATGGTGGGACAGATTGTGGTGTTTGAATGTAATGGAATATTATTGTACTGTAAGATAGGACAAATATGAGGAATTTGGAAAAATATGGGAAGGCTTAGATAAACTGATGCAAGTCAGAGTAAGCAGAATCAAGTATACATAAAGGTTAAATAATGTAAATTTAAATGATATGAAAAGGCAGGGGTACTCTGATTGATTGTAATGACCAATCTTGACCCCGGAGAACAGATAATAAAACACAATTCTTTCTTCTTAACAGAGATTTGGGGAACTACAGGTATGGAATATTACGTACACTGCCAGATGTAGTTGTTCCATCAATCAGTTTTTCTGCAATGTTTTCTGTTGTTATAAGACAGGGGGTCAAGGTGGGAATATACTAGGAAACTACTGTGATATAAAAGCAAAAGGCATCAATAAAACTTTAAAAAGATTTTTTAAAAAGTTCTGTTAAAATCTTATAAAAGTGAATGTTGAAAGTTAAAAATAAATAAATTAATTAATCTAAAAGAAAATTTTAAAAAGTTCTGTTAGTTTTAGTAGATTGTAAGTTTAGTACATATCCACAATGTGCCATAGAAGCCAAAAAAAAAAAAAGCTAACATTATTAGGAGATACATTAAGGGAGTTGGCAGTTAGTTGGCGCGGCGGATAGAGCAGATAGGGAAGACTCCTCCTCCCAAGTTCAAATCCAGCCTCAGACACTTGCTAACTGTGTGACCCTATGCAAGTCACTTAACCCTCAGTTTCCTCATCTGTCAAATGGAGAAGGAAATGGCAAACCACTCTAGTATCTTTGCCAAGAAAACCCCAGATGGGGCCATGAAGAGTTGGACAAGACTGAAAATGACTGAACAACAAACACATTAAGGGGGACATGGTATCTAGAATGAGGGGATGATGGCTATCGTGTCTGGGTCGAGTCACATTTGGAGTCTGATGTTCTGGGCATTATGTTTTATGAAAAACAGATATCGAGAGGCATCAAGGTACTTGGTCTAGAGTCAAAGAATCCTGGGTTCAAATCTTAACTCCACCTCTAAGTAACTAGGTAAACTTGAGTGAATCAAAATCTCATGAAAATGAAGGGTTGGAGCGGATGGCCTCCAAGGCCACTTCCATGTAATCTATGATCCTGTGAACATCCACATTTGATTTATAGCAGCTCTTTTTGTGGTGGCAAAGAATTGGAAACAGGAGATGCCCATCCATTGGGCAATAGCTGAACAACTTATGGCAGACGAAAGCGATGGAATACTATTGTGCTATAAGCAGTAAAGAAAGGGATGCTTTCAGAAAAATATAGGCAGACATGTATCTACTCATGCAAAGTGAAGTGACCAGAACCAGCACAATTTATACAGTAATGACAATATTGTAAAGATAAATAA